AAAGGTTGTTATGCAAAACGAAACTAGTAGCAAACAAAGTTTAATGACCCATTCCCTATTGCGAAGGTGAAATACGTATGCTACTACTATCTGCTACCATTCCCTGTTGCTATATAGGTTTCGTTTAGAGAAACACGGATGAAACTATACATAGAATCAAAAGATGATTGGCCTGCTTTATTGAAAGAACACAAAAGATGGAACTAGCTACGTGCAAGATGGAAGAACACAAAAGATGATTGGCCTGCTTTACATAGAAACACGGATGAAACTATGCATCAGTACCTTGCGAAGATGGAAGAACACAAAAGATGATTGGCCTGCTTTATTGAAAGAGATACGCGCAAAGGTTTTTAAATGCAGGGGAAATCCACGGAAATCCAGGGGGTTGGCCAGATTGTAGTTGAATTGAGTTGTTCAGTTTTTTGGCTTAAAAGTCCATCCAAATCTTTTAAAATCCATTAAAATCAATAACAAGTAAAATCCATGGAATGTTTGAGGATACCTAGATTTTAATAGATTCTATATAAATCTAAATTGGGGATACCTAGATTTTGATGGAATTCTAAACTCCATTAAAATCCATAATGAGGACACCCCCCTTAGTTTCCGATGATAGAAAACACCAAGTCCACCCAATACGCCACAACTACATGTGTTTGTATTTTGGAAAGTTGTGGCCTTATTATAAAGAAGTAGAGGTTTTTATGAGTAGTACCTAAAACGTGTCAATACGTATCTAAATATTCATATTGTATCTATGTATGAAGTAATTCATGATCAATTTTACAATCCGGATTCACCATTTAGTCTAATTGCATTTCAGATAGTTGTGACCTAGTTGGGTGATATTAGGGGTTTCTATAAATGTAGCCCATAACATGTCAAAACAAGGTCAAATTTTCATATTGTATTGATATATTAAGAACACCATTACTAATTTTACAATCCGGGTTCACTATATAGTTCAATTGCATTTAGGATAGTTGTGCCCTTATTGGGTGAAATTAGGGTTATGTATGAATGGAGCCTAAAATATGTCAATCACAACTATGAATATTCTTTTTGTATTGATATATTGAGAACATCATTACAAATTTTACAATCCGGATTCACCGTATAGTTCAATTGCATTTGAGATAGTTGTACCCTTATTGGGTGAAATTAGGGTTATGTATGAATGGAGCCTAAAATATGTCAAACACAACTGTGAATATTCTTTTTGTATTGATATATTGAGAACATCATTACCAATTTTATAGTCCGGGTTCACCGTATAGTTCAATTGCATTCGGATAATTCTGCCCTTATTGGGTAAAATTAGGTTTTGTATGAATATAGCCTAAAATATGGCAAAAACAATTGTAAATATTCTTTTTGTATTGATATATTGAGAAAATCATTAGCAATTTTACAATTCGGGTTCACCGTATAGTTCAATTGCATTTCAGATAGTTGTGCCATTATTAGGTGAAATTAGGGTTTTGTATGAATGGAGAGCAATACATGTCAAAGACATCTGTAAATATTCATATTTTATAGATATATTAAGTAAATAATAATCAATTTTAAAATCCGGGTTAATCATCTAATCCAATTGCATTTGGGATATGTGTGACCTAATTGTGTCAAATTAGGGTTTTCTATGAACGAAAACTAGAGCATATCAAACACAAGTATTAATATTCATACTATATCGATATATTAAGTAATCATGATCAATTTTACAATTTAGGTTCACCAGACATTACCCAGTTTGACCTATCGTCAAACTTGACCGAGTTCGGCTATGTTTGACTGGGTTTTACCGGGATCGACCTATCAACATGTCTACTAAGTTTTACTGAGTTTGACCATGTTCGACCATATTCTACCCATGGAGAAAATTGTTTGTTTTACTATGTTTGACCAGGTTCAATAGTAAACCTTACAACGTATATGGAACATAATAAACAGAGAGAAAACACAAAATATAAGTACAATAGGCGATAAATAATACAAACTAAATTACAACGCATCTAGTGTCTCCAAGGTCTAGAGTAGAGTCATTTACTATTTTGACAATATGCAACTTATGTTTACAAGTTCTTAAGATGTGTCTTTTCTTTTTGCACCCCGAACACGTCAATTGCCAAGCCGTGGCATTTGAAAAGAGACTCTCAACGAATGAGTACACTTTTTATAACCAGTCTCCTCATACAAACATTCCGAAAATGAATCAAAGTCCGTATTGGATGCATCCCAATCAAAAGCAGCATTTTTTTTATCTCCTTCAAACGTGTAGTCTCCATTCTCATGTTTTTTCCATTCCCCATCATAAACAACGTATATCAACTGGGTCGAACATGTAGCCATCTGTGAATGTAAAGAATATTAAATTACTGAACATAGTCAAATAATTGTCAAATTTGTCGAAAATGTCAGAACCCGGTCAAACTTAGTCAACCATGGTCGAACCTGTCAAACATGGCCAACTAAGTTGCAGTCAAACCTATCGAAGCAGTGAAACCTATTAGAATGTCCAAACATGGTCAAACTTGGTTAAACCCAGTCAACCACGGTAGAACCTATCACACATTCCCATCTAAGGCGCACAAGTACAGCCATGATAGAATATTTTCAAAAAACCAGGTTAAGAGTTATCCATTATTGTCAACAAAGCTTTTTATATTAAGTAGATTTCTTGAAATAAATAGTTAAAGATACTTTAACTTACTTGGAAGGGAGAATGCCGACAATGGAGATGCTAAAGAAGAAGATGTTGATTGGTGATGAGTTAGGTTGAACTCAAAGAGGACGGTTTGAACGTGTTCCAACTAAGTTCAAAGCATAGCTTGTTCAAACGCTTCAACGAGGAGGATATACGCTAGGAGGAGGGCATCCATCGGAAGAGAAGAAAAGGTTTGATTTGTGAAGGGTACCCCTAATAATAATAAACCTTATGGGGGTACTTTGATAAAAAAATCTCTTTTAGGGGCATTTTAAAAATTTGTCCCGAAGCTTCTCCTCTTAGTCGCGTCGCACTTAGTCGTGAACTGCTTTCCAATGATGAAGTTCGCGACTGCGGAGATTTCTGCGATCTCCTTCTCGCCTGGAATTCTTCTTTCATCTCAGCAAACTTTCTGGCGAGGTTTTCCGCCATCGTTTCCATGTTTGTTAACCTTTTCTTCATCGATGCCTATGCCCTCTCCAGTGAATCCATTCTACTCTCAAGCGGATCCATTCTATGCTCTGATACCATTGATAGGACTATGGAATTAATCAAGCAAATAGCAATAGATCTAGGGAAATATGGAGGGAATAGATTGAAAGATGTTTACTGAATAAGAGAAAATCACAGAACGTAAACAAAGCCTTGAGACTGTTTGAGAAGCCCACTCTCCAAGCCAAATGCCAATTCAATATCCGCCTGCCTTCTTTAGCTACCATCCACTTCTATTTATAGTAACAGTCCACGCAGGGACCAAACAAACAACTAATTAGCTATTTGACCCCTCAGACACCTTATTTCTCTTATTCCGCCCCTTAATAAAATACTGACTAGGCTGATTCCTATAGGTGCTTCAGCAACTAAGCTATCATCCACTTGAGCTCGTTCACAGATCTATCAAATGCAATGATTTTCTGATGTTCACTTGTAGGATTACCCATGACACGGGCAACACACGGAAGCGTATACCATACAGCCGGCTGTACGGCTGGGCACCGTACAGCCGGTGGCATTTTTGTAATTTTGATGACGTTCACGATTTGTCGTAAATGAGCATTGATGTAATTTTATTGAGCATCGAGTCTGTTCTTCTGAGTATTAAGAGCCTAACTATGAGCACCCGTGGTCTCTGCTTCATACCTTCTAATTCAGTTTCTTTTTATTAATTTCCGTTTTTAAAAAATTCTTAAATTGTGTTTGTAATTAATTTCAATATGTCAATCTATTGTAGTATGATATGTTTGATATGTGCACCATTTTCAAATGAGCATAAACCAGTACCAAATGTGCATACCTAATTTACAAAATGAGTATCAAAAAAATCAAAACTTCATTTGTGTATGCTCATTGATTTTGGGCGTTATATTTAATATATGCATCATTTTAAAATGAGCATAAAGCAATACCAAATGACCATACATAATTTACAAAATGAGTATCAAAAAATTTAAAAGCTCATTTGTGTATGCTCATTAATTTTGGGCGTTATATTTGATATGTGCATCATTTTAAAATGAGCATAAAGCAGTACCAAATGAACACACATAATTTACAAAATGAGTATCAAAAAATTCAAAATCTCATTTTGTGCATGCTCATTGATTTTGGCGTTATACTCATTTAAGTTTAACATAAAACTCATTTTTAATGTGTTTAATATTTAGTTGTGTATGTTCATTTCTTTGAGGCGTATACTCATCTGAGTTTAATATAAAACTCATTTTTAATGTGTCTAATATTCAGTTGTGTATGTTAATTTTTTTAATGTGTATACTCATTTGAGTTTTTTATAAAACTCATTTAAGATCAATAGTAGTAGGGACTTCCTTTTTCTGCAGTAGGATCCTTTGTCTTCCAAAATCACAATCTCAATCTCAATCACCAAAATTGAATAAGAAAAAGAGAAAAAAGAAAAGAGTGAAAAGAAAGACAGAGGAAATCTGTTGTGCCCATTCTAGGAGATCAGCTGTGAGAGGCAACTATCTAGGAGAGAAAGAGACAAGTGGTGCGAAGCAGATGGAAGAACCAGACGACATCTGAGACTGGTGCGAAGCTGGGGGCGAAGTCGAGGAAGAAGGCCGAGCGAGATCGATCGAGGAAGAAGGCTTAGCTAGATCGATCGAACGCCAGAGCAAGATCGAGGAAAAAGGGTCGGCTGTACCGTGCGCACGGTACAGCCGGCTGTACCATGTAATTTACGGGCAACACACCCAATTTAATTAACCTCTAAACATCACAGGCTATTTAATGAAGAAGATTTAAACAAAGGTATACAAGTTCTGGCTTAGGTATGTCAATTTTCTTGAGATCTAGAACTTCCTAGGGTTGGGTATTGTTGAGACCCAAAAATACCACATCTCAAAGTCAGAACACTAGCTCATCTTCCTCAGAACTGGAATGCTAGACCCTACCAACAACTCCAACTGTTCTCAAAGTCCTGGGTATTCCCATCACTTTAGCAGCTTAAGACATTGAATTCGAAGAAAGAGAGAGTGAGCAGCTGACTATGTGCGAGAATGCGATACGGTAGAGGCCCTCGTGATCGCTTAGAGCCCCTCTTCCATCAATAGGTACTCCCAACGCGTCGACCAGAGTTTTTTTTCCTTCTGAAACTCTTGCTAGACTTATTCATAAGTAAGACCATCTTATATAATGGGAAAGTACGAGGTGAATCCCAAAACTATTAGGGTTCCTAATTCTAATAGTATATCAGTATATCACCACGTCCCAGAGCTAATAGGGTAACTCAGTAACTGATATGTAATTACTAAATTATTGAATGACTCTTCAACTAAAACAATTTTGAAACTATCTAATTAAAGTATGTAAGACTTCTGGTCATACTAAACAATACTAAATCTCTCTTTGTATGTATTAGAATTTAGAAAAGGAGAGAAGTTTAAACCGAAAGGTTTCATTCATTCCATGGTATGTTATCCTATTTATACAATGTCCTAGGGATCAATAAAGTAAGCTACTAATTACAATTTTAAATACAAATATTTTGTTACTGAAGATTCTAATGATTTTGTAATTATTTTTTGGACTCTTCTATACGTCCCTACAAGTATTCTATCACTCCCAAGAATGCTGCCGTGGAAGTGGCTTGTTGAGAATGTCACCTAGCTGATCATGAGAGGGGATATGTAGCACGAAGAAGGCCACATTGCACACTTGTCAGACAAAATGGAAATCAATGGCGACATGTAGCATCCGAGAATGGAAGACATGATTTGTTGAACAGGTGGCAGTGCCTTTTTTATCACAAAGAAGAAGGTGAATGTCAGAGCTCGTGAAGTGACTCAACCCAAAGAATTTCAGACGCGACCATGGATAGAGCCCGATACTCTGCTTTGAACTAAGGATGAAGGCCTTCTAATGATTGGTCGGCCGTGACAAGTAGGGGTGAAGAAAAAATTGAAAAACCGAAACCGAACGGCAAACCGACTGAAACCAAACCGACCAATACTGACCGAAACTGACTAAATCATGCTGGTTCAGTTTATGTATGATACTTTTGGGTTAAAATACTGACCGAACCGACCAAAACGTGCTAAAACTGACCAAAACCGACTCAAGTTGTGTGGTCTATTTCTCGGTTTCACCCTTTTTAAAAGTTGGCTAAAACCGACCGATTGAAAATGAACCAACTAAAAACCGATCCAATAAAACCAAAACCGGTGAAACTGAATGCCCTAATGGCAAGTTCATCTGCAAGAATTTGAAGGTGATGAAGATATTCTCTGACAGATTGCGACCCTTGTTTAGCATGGCAGAGCTGGTCTTTGAGTTTCCAGATTTTGGAGGTTGACTGAGTCCCATAGAGACGCTCCAATGTCTTCAGATGGAGGTGGAGGTTCGTGCAGACCCAACTAGAGGTTTGCAAGACGAACTGAGAGAGGAGACAAGGGCATGAAGTAGCAGACAATCCTGTCTGTTCCATCGGAGAAGGCTGCCCACTTCACTTTCTGTAGGAGGAATAGCTTTTTCGTCTATATTGATCCAGCTGAGAACCAAACAGAAGGTCCATTACCTGGGAATTGGCTAGGGCTTAGCATACTAAGGCCATATGGGGTTAGGGAATTGTTGGCTGAGTGGGATGAAGTCTGGCCAGACAGGGAGTTGTCATGGAAGTCTTCTTGACTTTGTCTCCATTTCCATTAGTAGCTGTGGGAAGAAGGTTAGTAGCCATGAGAAGGAGGAGATGCTGACAGAATGGTTAAGTCAAGAGAATAGGCCGGTTAGAGCTCCTGTGACTTTGATATCATCATCATCATCACCCCAGTGCCGCAAAGGCTCCCACCTACGGTGGGGTAAGGGGGGGTCGGATGTACACAGTCTTACCCCTGCACTAGAGCACAAAGAGACTGTTTACGGATGACCCATAGTGAAAAACGCGCCGAATATTGCATGGACCGACTGCTGCTTCATAATAAAGAAGCGCAGACAATTCAGTGAACCATTTTGCTTTATTCCATCATAGTCCCAAGCCAAAAAATAGTGAGTCTTTAGCTCCATTGCAAATGATGGAAAATCCTGTGACTTTGATACCATATTATAATTTAGAAAGGGAGAGAAGGTTAGACTGAAAGGATTGATTCATTCCATGGTTTGTTTTGCAATTCATACAATGTCCTAGGGATCAATAAGGTAACCTACTAATTACAAAATTACAATATTAAAAACAGAGATTTTGTAACCAAAGATTCGAATGATTTTGTAACTCATGTAACTTATTTTTTGTACTCTTCTATAGTATCCTGCTTGGATGGCCAAAAGCACGTATCGTAGTAACTGGTTCTGCTCGTGACATTGTTCCTATACAGCTATACTGCCTAGTCATTAGAGGGTGGGTGTGATAATATATTTGAGGTAGATACCTCCAAAGGCCACAACACCATTAATGTATAGACTGTAGAGCTGTAACTCTTTGCTATCTTGAGGTGGAAAGAGGTTGCTGTAGCACATCTTGTTGATGCCTTTATTAATATAAGGATATTTGGTATTTGCACCCAATGTTTACCCCAAAATTTGTTTTTGAACCGCATGCTTGATTTTCTTGTCTTTGCATCCCAGAGTATGGTGTTGTGTACTCCCTCCGTCCCCTTTTAAATGTCCCGTTTTACCATATTGGGATGTCCCTATTTAATTGCCCCATACCTTATTTGGTAAACTTTGTGTGGCTCAAAATCATTTTTACTTTATTCTTACTTTATCAATTAATATCAACCACACAAACTCATTTTTCTTAAAACTCGTGCCACCATCTCCCGTCCCATTTAAAAGGGGACGGAGGGAGTATGTGTTAAGGTGTTGCGTACTAGCTACATTGTTGCTGTGTGACCGAGAGCTCATGAGTTAAAGTCTTGGGCGCGGTCTCTTGTCAAAATGACAAGGTGCGGCCTCTTCCCTGACCCTCGCCTTGCGGCAACACCAATGTGCACTGGGTCCCCCCTTTTGCATCCCAGAGTACCCAAAAGTTTGCTGCAAACTCAAGTACAAAGTTAATTCACCGGGTGCAAAGTTTAATAGAACAACCCACTTTGGGGTGGTTTGTGGTGCAAAGTTAAACAAAACAAAACAAAGGTTTCAAAGTTAAATTGGGGCGAGCTTGAGGTGTAAAGAACAATTCCCATTATTATATTATATCTTTCTAGTAATGACTCCCTAAGTCCCTAATTAACTGATACTCCCTCCGCCCCGCTAAGATTATCCCATCCTTTTGTTCCAGTCCGTCCCACTAAGATTGTCCCATACCAAATCGGTAAAGTGTATGTGGTTCTAAATCATTATCTTATTTTATTTATTCAATATTAACCACATAAACACACTTTACTTAATATTTGCACCTCCTCCTCATGTTCTATGTGCAGTCACATAGAATGGTAGGTCTGAATTTGAACTCCACCTTTTGTCATTCCCTTTATTTAGTGGCTAGGTAGTAGGTACTGCTTTGTCTTACTCGTTATGTGCCTGTTCTTTTACATATAGTCGTTTCTTACTTGGTATACATTTGGCATACTTGATCCTGTTTTCTTCAAACTCTGCTTTTGTATTTACTGCTGCTCTGTTTTATTTTTGACGTAAAAAAACTTCATGCTTCTTTAGTCTGCTATTCACACATCCCATGATGGCGTTATATATTATGGTTTTCCTTTCATAGTTTTTTGTTGCTGTGAAAACTGCTTGACAGGTGCAATAACAATTGAAGTTATGAGAGGATACTGCAATGCTTTGGGTAGACATATGAGGTATGTTTATGATGCTTGATTACTTATTAGACAAGACATGTAATTGTACAAGTGGCCACTCAACTATTGTGACATTTTTCACTCGACTATTGATTTCGTACAAAGTTAGTCCCTCAGTATACACAATGTTGAATATGCAATAATTATGCGGGAAAATATGTAATGTCAAACTATTTGGCTGTCATGCCTTCAAATCAACGTTCTTTTAACTAATAGGTACAAAATTATGAAGGACTGTTTTACACAATTTATAGACAAGGCCTGCCGCCCGAGGGACAATTTCTAGTATTAACTTCTGGACAAATTTATTCAGTTGTCTCACTAATGCTACAATGATCATCTTTGAAGTCTCTAATACCTTGCAGATTTAAACATTTCTTTTTTTCAAGGATATCAACATTATTTTTAAGGTCAAAGCATACCCTGCCACAAATTTGTTTGAAGGAAGTAGATGGTTATAATCCAATGATGGTACCTGATCGGTGTAAGCTACTTGATAAGGTAAGTTTTTAAATTGATTTATTTCCAAGTCATCTGTATGGATTACATACTAATGTCCTCCATGTAATTTGTTAGCATAAATATTCCATGATTAGTCGACTACTATTCTCTTTATGAGCACTCCTCACATTTCTAACTTTATCACTCCCAAAGATCAAGAACTAAGTGTATTTACACACTTGAACACTTAAAAACATTCTCTCATGGTTGTATACAAAAAACCACCACCTCTTGGTTTAGAACCTCATTGCAACAAGTCAAGCAAAATACTATCATCAAATCCTCATTCATGACTCGTGCGCTTTCACACGCCGTTATAATCAGCGACTTTTTGACTTCGCCAACACCAGTAGCTTGTCAATTTATAATTAATTAAATGCATAACCAACCAAGCAAACAATAAAACAATAAACCCTAATGTCAGCTTTTTCTCAAACAAAACACGGTTTGGTTAAGCCCGGATTGAAGGCATCACATGTTGGTTCATCTCTTTGAAGACTTTACCTTGAAAATTTGGTTATCATCATACTGTGTCACATGCCTTATGTGCCGCCGTTGTTATGACTTGTATTCATTAGCCCATCTAACTTTACTTAGGACAAAGTAACACCAGAAGAAAACAAGAGAAGGAAAAAGGGAAATAAGGTTTCAAGTTTTATGTATCATGTTTTCAAAGTTGATTAAAACTAGAGTAAAATTCAGTAAAGTAAGTTAAAGTAAATGTTTAGTCTGAGGATGCTCGTGTGGATTCTCTTGTGGGTACCAAAAGTTCAATGAGAGTTTAGTGAAGTTGTTATAGTTAAGTGAGGTGAACTTGAAGTGCCTAGTGTTCACTGTTCAGTATCAAGTTTTAGCTTTTAAGTACGAAGCATGGATCTATAGTGCTCCAGCTTGAGGATTAATAAACCCTATGCAAGAGAGGGAATGGATATAATGGTTTTCATGATCACTTCGTCTGGGATACACCCTTTGGCAAACAACCCGAAGCATGATCACTTTCCCCATCTAACATACTTCACTGAAAAAACCCATTCACATCATATCCTCTTCTTTCCTCAAGGGAGCTTTACCTTCTCCCAATCAGAACTCTTTTGGATAGCCTCCATTTGTCTAGCATAGCAGATTTCCACTTAGGGACTTCAAGGGCTTCCTGAAGTTGACTAGGAATAGTTATGCAAGACAACTGAACTGCAAAAGCAAAGTGAAATTTGGGCAGAAAAAAAAATGCAGTGATTTGTACCTCAGAAATAATAACAGAAAAATCGTCAGATGACATGTTAATATCATCGAGAGGATGTTGGAGTTTGGAAGAGGCATGACAGTTGTATATTTTCTCTTCCTTGTGTAATGTTGTCGAAATACTATGTTTGGCCTTTCTTTCATTTCCGCAACTTCAGAATATGCTACTACCGTTGGTCCCTGATCCACCACATCTATTTCTCTTTCCATATGTTTTCCTCTATTTTATGGTCAATCTTCCCATGTAAAGAACCTGAGGATACATCTCCAGACAAAAGAACTCACACTCTTGGAATTGAACATCCACATAGAATCAAGGATCAAGTTCATCCCTTTGATGAGAATGCATATGAACATAACACTCATGACCAAAATGTTTTAGAAAAAGATCAAGACATGATGAATAGAGTGAAACTGGGATAACACGAACATAACACTCATGACCAAAATGTTTGGTAGTCAATTTCTTGTGCCCTGTGCATGCGTTTAGTTTTTGAGGAAGGCAACAAATCATGACTACATCAGCGCAACAATGTTTTAGAACATGCATATGGGGCGCATAAAACCTGAACCATTTCTAGATTGAGGGGGTGTTTGGAGCAGAAGCACATATTGGGGTGTTTGGAGCTCCTTTTGGGGGCTCCAAATTTCTCTTAGAAGCAGTTTTTTAGTAGCTGAGGGAGACCTGCTTCTGAAAAACTGATTCTGATTCTACTTATGCTTTTGAAAAAGAAGCAGAATCAGAATCAATTCCAAACACCCCTTGATTGCAAATTTGAATTTGATATTTATTTCGCCCTGAATTTGAATTAGAATTTTGGTATTGATGTGACAACTGACAATGTTTTTCTTTCCATTTTTAGCTTGACTGGAACATGTTAGCCTGCTAATATGTAATGGTGTTCATAGGTTTCTAGCTTATGGGTTTTGATGGTCTACATGATTTTACAATTTCCTAAATAAAAATTCCCTTGTGATTGTTTTCTTAGGTATCGATGCTTGTGGGTTTTGATGGTCTAAGTGATTTAATTGACAATGAAATGGATATGTCCATAGTATCTAGAAAGTTTCCATGCATTATTTTGGGATCTTCTCAACCGGTTGGGTTATTTGATGGAGCTGAATACCACTCCAAGTACAGTGACATTTTGGCAGCTCAGATTTGTAAAGAGGTTTTCTCTAAGCCTGATGATTCAAATTTAGTAAAAATAGATTTGCTGTTTGGCACATGGCAATGTGTGGAGACATGCTCTCTTGGTGTTGAATCTTCCCTTACTACAGCCGAAACTATTGAGGCAGAAGTAAGAGAAAAGTTGCAATTAGCTGTGGCTAAGCCTTCCACTCAGCCTTCACCTGAGCTCCAAGAGATTGCTAGATCTGTGGATACAATACTTGATCAATGTATTAGTTGTATTCCTGGAGTGAGTAAACGCCATTGTCGTCAGCTAGAAAACTGTGGGTTTCATACGGTGAGGCTTTAAACGATTTGTAAGCAAGCTGTATTATATCCTGCAGGCTCCGTCTTTTCTTAAGCTATTGAATTCATGTTTATGTGTAGCTGCGGAAGTTGCTCCAGCATTTTCCTCGGACCTATGCTGATCCACATAATGCACATGTTGGAATTGTTGATGGAAAATATATGCTTTTTGTGGGGAAAATCTTATCCTCTAGGTATAGAAATTAATACCATTCTTTGCAATTTGTTGTCTTACATTTGCGTTGTAGCTGCCAAGTATTCCTCTTCAGTTCTCCTGTCATTTTAATTTATTAGACTTATCAGTGGGTATAAAATGACAAGGGAAGGCTTTCTCCTTATACACCCTTGTAGTGGGATCCTTCCCCAGACCCTCGCCTTGCGGGGAGCCAGTGTGCACCAGGCTGCCCTTTAGACTTGTTTTATCAGTCTTCTGGATCGTGCATGGACCCAAACTTTTGTTATAACTTGATGATCAAATATAAGAAAAAGAACTAGTTGTTTAACCATGGTTTTATTTAATAGCTGTAATGCTGTAATGTGAAATTGGCATAAAAATAATATTCTCACTAAAGAGGTGTTCTAAACAGGTATTCCATTTCAAGTTCCCTGTGGGGAATCTGTATTCAATCATCCTAAATGTGCAATTTTTCTATTTGAAAACACTTTTTTTCCATGCAGGGGACTCAAGGCTAGTCCTTCTTTATCATTTCTTGAGGTCATTGTTTCGTGTGAAGTCCCATATGATACACCTACAACTATATCCATGACTGGGGGTGCTGATAAAACTGATAGTGTTGGTGAGAAAACAATTTTTTTACATTTGAAAAAGTTTTTCCGAGGTACCCGATTTACATATCTGCCTTTTCTCAAAAGTCTTCAAGAGAAACAAAAGGTGGGGGATGTGGTCTGTATAAGTGGTAAGGTGAGTTCAGAAATCTCACAACTAATGGTGAAATTAAAATGATGTAAATGTTATATATCTCATGGGTTTTTTATCCCGTATTACATCCCTGACATGCTATCACCACTTTTGTCTGGATGAAGTAAATGTGTTTATGTCATATGTGTCTCCTGCATGGTATTTATGTCCGGGTGAGTTTTTTTCCTATTACTTCCCTAGCATGACATTACATCACCTTCGTCTGAATGAAGTAAATGTATTTATGTCATATGTGTCTCCTGGATGCTTTATCAATAGGAACTCTTAATTTTGAGTGTGAAATTGAGTCATGTTTTTGGCTGTATATCCTGGTCAACATACAAAGATTGAACGGACATCTAAATAGTTAGATTTGTATCCCATATGCCGCCCTTCCATACTAGCTTAATTTTTTAAAGTGAGATTAGGTGTATTAATCCGAAATCTTAATTACTCTATGATCTATAGTTAAGGATAATATTTAATAATAATAATAATAATAATAATAATAAAATTTTTACTTTCCTATTAGTAATTACTAATATCTAATATCAATAGTATGTAATATTAGTATAGGTTTTCTATTATTACTATTAGTATATGCTCTTTAGTTGAATTCATTATATCAATATTCCTATTATAACAATAAAACCATGGTTAAACAACTAGGTCTTTTTCTTATAATTGATCATCAAGTCATCACGGCAGTGTCACTGACACCAGTGTCACTATGGTTGGGTGCAGTGTAATTGTATTGGTGTTGAGTTAAAGTTTTAATAATAAAAATATATAATATTAAATTAAACAGTATAAATGTCAATCTTAATCATGTTTTGGAAAATTTATAAGTAGTCCATTTTTTATCTTTAGCTTTTCCTGTGGCCTTATTCATGTCAAAACCCTAGTTTAAATAGAGGTGTTCCACTCATTAATAAAATCCCTAATTGTTTTAGAGTTGATTTATTGTGTCTCACCTTCCAAAGGCGAAAGGAAACCTACTCTGCCAAGGGCTAATAGTTTCTTTATCTTCATAGCTTTTGTTCTTCATCTTTTTCACCTTCCAACCATGTCCATAATAATTTGGTATCACGAGCTCTAGTCAAACTCTAGTCGAAGTGTCATCTAAGCTGTGGTCACTGAGATGGAGGCTTTTTATTCAATTGTCTCTTTGGAGTTGGTACCTACTTTTTTAGAGTATCCTCAATCATGCTTCCCACATAATCAGTTTTTTATGGTTCCCATTTTTAAATAATTGCCTTTGTTTTTAATACTACCTCTGTCCCCCTATTATTGTCCCAGTTCCTATTCACTTGGTCAACATAAATCACTCTTAATCTCTTACTTTATGTAGTTTTTGCGACTTTGTAAAGCTTTTAATGTAGTTTCTGAATATGTATTTTTTTCCTAAAGATAATTTGAGTGAGACAAGGATCCGTTTGCTTTATCATCGGTCAAACATCGTAAACCGCAATGGGACAATAATAGGGGGATGGAGGGAGTAATATTATACCAGATATCCTCTAAATTACCCCCAATCATTATCCTTAAAAAATCTGATCTTTTGTGGGCCGCGCACTCGGTAATTACTATTTCACAAACAGTCTTGAAATAACCTGGATTCATATTTTACTATTACACAGCCTGATCTATCTTTTGCGGTCAGTGTGCCCATGAAGTTCCTCTATTTTCTGTTCGAGGAGTCCTACACCGTGGAAATGAAAGAAAAATAATGTCTTAACAAGACTTTGGGTTGAACTAGCTAATAGGTTGATTTCACAACTTTAATGTGGTTTGAGTGTTTGACCCATACTTGTTCCTAATTTCTTTCAGAGTAGACTAATATAACCCAGTGGCCTGTGTACCCAACACCCCATTGAAAAACTCTGGTGGCCCATGGTTTCATTCAGTGTAGTCGCTGTTTCCGATCTTCAGTTTCAAGAGGAGTCAGATTTCAAGTGAACCATCTGTTAGATTCAAAATGGCCAGCTGTCCACTTGAGAGGAAATGTTGAGGAGTCCCACTCCGGACCAATGAAGGAAAATAATGGGTTAAAACTTAAAAGACCTTGAGTTAAATTAGCTTATAGGTTGGTTTGCCTTACAGCTCAGTGACCCAACCCAATCCTGAATTTTATCATTCGATTGCCATTTATATGTTGCTAGTCACTATTTGAATCATGAGTTACATGAAGAAGACATGGGAACAAAGATTGCTTTATGACGATCTGCGTCATGTTCATATTGTTAGATATTCGGATGTTGATTCTGCTGATTTTTCATATCATTGACGCTCCGCCTTTAAGTATTTTGTGTTATTGGTGAGAATCTTCTACCTTGGAAGAGCAAGAAGTAAAACATGGTTGTTGGATTTAGTGATGTAGCTGAGTATCATTCTATGGCCCTAGCCCCCAATGAACTTATATAGTTGGAGCATTTTTAATTGCACTATAGCAATGTACAAATGACACTTACGTGTTCTATGCAAGTTTAATAGAGCATGAATGGCTAGAGCTAGGTGTGTTGTGTGAGTACCGGTTCTGTGGTTCATGTGTACTAAGTGTCATCATCATTTCATTTTCATTTACCCTAGTGCCGCAAAGGCTCCCACCTACGGTGGGGTAAAGGGGGTCGGATGTACGCAGTCTTACCCCTGTACTAAAGCACAGAGAGACTGTTTCCGGATGACCCGTAGTGAAAATCGCGTCCAAAATTGCATGGACTGACTGCTTCTTCATAACAAAGAAACGCAGACAGTTTAGTGAGTCATTTTGCTTTATTCCATCATATTCTCAAGCCAAAAAATAATGGATCTTTGGCTCCATTGAAAATGATGGAAAATATTTGTACATGAGTAGTTACTAGTCTTTGCTGAATTCTATGGATGGAACTATGTACATTTGTTATTTTTTGTAGTTATAGTGTGTTGTTGGTAATCAAAGTTATTGGGTCTTTTGTAGGTGAGAACTCTTCGCAAAAAAGATCACTATGAAATGAAAGAATACACGATGGACATTCTCGAAGCGGAAGATGATTCGTATACATGTGCAGAAAGGAGACCATATCCTATATATCCTTCAAAAGGAGGTCTCAAACCAGTCTTTATCCGAGAGATTATTTCAAGGTTTATAAATTTAACATCTTTCTTTATCTACTACTCTTATTTGTATACATCTTTGAAGAGCTTGTTTGTAAATGTTCAGTTCACTCCCTTTTCCGGGTTTCATTATTTTTACAAAGTTTGCTCATGTTGTTCCTGCTAATCCAGTCCAAGCATCTTTTCATTTAGGCTAATAATTCGTTTGTTCTTCATGGCATGGTTTGTTTTCGCTGCTCTAAGTGTGCTGAGTTTTGCTGGGGTAAATATTTGCCTCAAACTTTGAATATAACATTAAGATGGAAAATTGATTTGTTTGTCAAAATTACAAGAGACTTGAAAGAAAGTCGCAATTAGGGAAACCTTTGAGAACTATAAATGTTCTCTTATCTAGATACATGCCTACTGGAGAGAATCAGTTAGCTGTTGTGTCCGCATCAAACTCTGAGTATAGCAATTAAGATGTGAAGTAGGTTTCATGGAGTCAATGGTTACAAGAGAACCGAAAGAATGTGATGTGAGCTGCTCATATCAGAATATTACAATCCCAAATGACCACTATGTTGGTTTACTGAACAGGGGATATAGAATTAGCAAAGTATATGAATAACATACTGAAGGAATAATATCAAACACATGGTGTGTTCACTCAAGATTGAATTGAAATTGAACTGACAGTTTGCAGGAAATATGTATTACAATACAAACTAATAATACATCAAATTTATACTCCCTCCGTCCCTAAATGTTGTTCCAATTGCGGATTACGAAGGTTGACCGACGATAAAGTTAAATGATCCCTGTGAAAACTCGGATTATTTTTAGTAAATAAAATTTACATATTCAGAAACCACATTAAACCCGCTACAAAGTCTGCAAAAAATAATTCAACTTTTATAAAATTTTGATATAAAAAGTAAGAATTTAAGAGTGATTTAAGTTGACCCTCGATAAGCGAAATGGAACTTCTTTTAGGGACAGAGGGAGTAGATGAAATGGAAATAACTAACGGTTCCTATTAAGACTCCACGAAACCTGCAAATACGGATGAAAACAAGCAAATAGCAGTGAATATGTGTATGGCATAAACCACTCATACACGTATCTTTATTCTCCTAAAAAGGTGGGTTGAACAAGTCCAAGCTTTCACTCACATTCCCCCCCGTAAGCTTGACTTTGTTCAAGATTCTTCACTCCAAGTAAGTCCCGCATTTGAGCAAACCTTATCCTTGCTAAGGCCTTTGTAAGAATGTCTGCACGCTGCTCTTTGGTCAAGATGAACTCCACAACCATTTGCCCCTTCTCAACACACTCTCTTATAAAGTGAAAGCGAGTGTCAATGTGCTTGCTGCGTTTGTGAAATACCGGGTTCTTTATCAATGCAATTGCAGATTTGTTATCAATATAGAGAGTTACTGGTTTAGGCTTCCTCCCAGTTAGTTCACTCAATAAATTTCTTAGCCACAGAGCTTGGCACGATGCTAGAGTTGCTGCCATATACTCAGCCTCACAAGAAGATAGGGCCACAGTTTGCTGCTTCTGCGATTGCCAAGTGATCAGGTTTCCATTGAGATAAAATGCCATTCCTCCGGTGCTTTTCCTGTCGTCAACATCGCTGGCCAGATCACTGTCAGTGAAACCCACTAGTTCTTCAACGCCTTGCCCTCTATCATATTGAATTCCATAGTTAATTGTCCCCTTCACGTAGCGAAGAATACGTTTAGCCGCCACCTGATGAACTGTGGTAGGCTTCTCCATGTACCTGCTTATGATTCCAACTGCATATGAAATATCTGGCCGAGTATGAGTTAAATACCTTAGGTTCCCGATGAGGATGAGGCTTCTATACTCGGTAGGATCCACAGGAACTCCCCCAACATCTATTCCAAGCTGCTGCCTTGCTTCCATGGGACATTTGCTTGAGTTGCAGTCTGCCATCCTGAATTGTTGTAACACCCTTCTTGCGTAGGCGGACTGTTTCAGAGTAATGCAGCCTTTCTTCTGGTCTACCTCAATGCCAAGATAATATGAAAGTAACCCAAGGTCACTCATTTCAAATTCTTTCATCATTTGCATTTTGAATCTCTCTATACAGTCCATGCTTGATCCGGTTACAATCAGGTCATCCACGTACACACAAACAATTATAATTTCTTCCTCATAAATTTTTTGTGTATACAGCCTGCTCCTGAGAACACTTCACGAACCCGAGACTCTTCATACTTCTGTCAAGGCGTGTATTCCATGCCCTTGGTGCTTGACGTAGACCGTAGAGGGCTTTGGACAGCTTATATACCTTATGTTCCTCGTTTTTTACACAAAACCCTTCTGGTTGAGAAACATATACTTCTTCTTGAAGGTCACCATTCTTCTTGAAGGTCACCATTAAGAAACGCTGACTTGACATCCAGATGGTAAATTTTCCACTCTCGATGGGCTGCAAGAGCAATCAACATCCTTATAGTGTCAAGTCTTGCCACTGGTGCGAAAACTTCTTCAAAATCAATTCCCGGACGTTGCACATATCCCTTTGCTACAAGTCTGGCTTTAGGCTTGATAACATTCCCTTCATTATCCTTTTTCAGTTTAAACACCCACTTCAATCCAATAGGCTTGTGTCCGGATGGTAAATCAGTCAGTGTCCAGGTCTTATTTTTTCAATAGCCTCCATTTCTCTTTCCATAGCATCTTGCCACTCCTTTTCAGTTACTGCCTCTCGGTAACAAGTTGGCTCCTCAATGGCAACTAACACCAACTCATCAGCATCCATATCTGCTTCAGGTGCATCTGTGTATATTTCAGCAAGAGAACGGAACCTTCTGGGACCGCCATCTTCTGACTTCTGAGTCACTGCTTGAGCTCTCTTGTTCCTGAACTTCTGTGAAGTCTGTTGGTGGATAATCTGGCTCAACTATGTCTCCCTTGTGTGGAAGGATTGCGAATTCCACAGTTTTTTTATCATTCTTTTCACCATCACTATACCAGTCCCACTTTTTATCTTCTTCAAAAATAACATTCCTACTAATGTAAAGCTTACCATCATGAGGACTGAAAAGACGGTATGCTTTACAACCTTCCTCCACGCCAAGGTATACCACGATTTTGCTACAATCATCTAGCTTTTTAATGTGCACACCAGGTTGCTTCATGTGAGCAATGCAACCGAACACCCTTAGGTGTTCCAAATTTGGCTTCCTTCCAGTCCACATCTCATGGGGAGTAGTATCCGTGAGTGATTTAGTCGACACACGGTTTAAGATGTACACAACATGCCTTACTGCCTCCCCCCATAATTCTCCAGGTAGCTGCATAGTTTTCATAAGGCTCCTAGCCATTGCCACCATAGTACGATTCCTGCGTTCCATGACACCATTTTGTTGTGGTGTATATGGTGCTGTGAGATGTGTCTCCATTCCCTCCTTTTCACAGAATGATGTAAATTCCTTTGACAGGAATTCCCCTCCTTGGTCAGTCCTTAAAATCTTCATATTGTATCCAGTTTGATTTTCAACCAAAGCCTTATACTTCCTAAAGGCAGAAAAAACATCATTCTTGTGTTTGAGCATGTATACCCACATCATCCTACTGTAATCATCAACAAGGAGAAAATACCTATTCCCAGCTTGTGTTTGTGGGGTTATCGGGCCACACAAGTCTGCATGAATCAGCTGCAATGGTTGATCCGCCCGAAAGGTTGTTTGACATGGAAAGGGTGCCCTTCCGTGCTTAGCAATCACACAGCCTTCACATAGTTGTGTAGGGTGTGTAATGTTAGGCAAACTTCGTACCATCTCCCTTTCATTCATTTCTTTCAGTGCTTGGAAGTTCACATGCCCCAGTCGTGTATGCCAGAGCCATGACAGATCATGGGTGCTTGCAGTTAGGCATACTGGTTGTGTTGTTTCAAGCAACACCTTATAGAGACGATTTTGTGTTCTTTTCACCTTCATAAGAAGCTTTCCGAACCTATCATGTATCCACAAGAATGTTCCGTGCAGCACAATCTTATTTCCATCCTCCGATAATTGGCCAAGGCTAATAATATTACTACACAAGCTTGGTATGTAATATACATCAGTCAGTAACCGGTGCTCACCATTCTTGCATTTCAGTAGAATTGATCCTTTTCCCAAGATCTGCACAGTGGAACCATCGCCTAACTTCACGTGTCCTTGAACGCTCTCATCGAGATCTTTGAACTTTGAACGTTGACCCGTCATGTGATTACTGGCCCCATTGTCAAGGTACCATACATCAGATTCGCCGTGGCTGGTTACACCATCTCACAGCTTTGGTACAACCTTTCCTTCATTTAGTAAAACCATATCACTGATCACTTGTCTTTTTTTCTTGTTCAGATAGCAACAATGCTGGTTCCTCATCTTGGGTCGGTGTGAAATGGACCTCCTCATCTCGATTTTGACGCGGTTTACGACACTCAGAGGCATAGTGTCCATATATATCGCAATTAAAGCACTTAATCTTGCTTTTGTCGTGGCTGCTGCTGCTATTACGACTCCGTTCTCCGGTGTAAGGTCGTCCACCTCTACCACGTCCCTGACCACGATTGTTATTGCTACTCTCACCATTTCTTTTCTCATCGTCGTTGTTACTCCCCTTCTGTCGCATCATCCATTCTGAGTATGTGAGCAATAGATTTTCCTCATTCTTTTCGCTGCTGCCCGGGTTCTCTCCTCATAAAGCTTCAGGCGGCCTGTCACCTCCTCCATAGTCATGGTCTTGAGATCTCCAAACTGTTCAATCGATGAAACAATCTGCAGAAATTGTGGCGGGACGGCCCGAAGAAATTTCTTAACAACACATATTTCCTCATTCGTGTCACCCAATGTCCGGATGCCATTGACAATTTTTGTCAGTTTCATGGCAAAGTCATCCACCAACTCACCTTCTTTCATAGAGAGTGCCTCGAACTCACTCCTCAAGGTCTGCACTTTTGCTTCCTTGACTCGTTCGGCGCCAATATGCATTGTTTTCAGTGCCTCCCACGCTTCCTTGACAGAGTCCTTGTCAGCCAACATGAGAAGAATGTCTTCAGGGATTGCTTGATAGATTAGAGCGAGAGCAGTCATGTTTTTCCGTTCATCGGTGGCTCTAGTTTCCATGACATCCCACACACCTTGAGCCTTCAAGTTTACCCGCATCTTCAAGGCCCATGCTGGATAATTGCTCCGTGTGAGCATCGGGTACTGGAGTGTCATTCCGTTCTTGTTCTGACCTGGTACAGACATTTCTCCTGTTTCTCTGATACCAAATGTTGGTTTACTGAACAGGGGATATAAAATTAGCAAAGTACTGAGCATGGGAGTAAATTGCACTCATCTTCTAAAATAACTTAAGTTAACCGCCTTTTATTAATATGACATCCAATTTGCAATCATGTGTTTGTAATGTTTATCACCAACCTTATATGGAGAACTAACCCCATAATAATAGGAAATGGTAATGTATCTAAAATTAGGACTTACTGTATTTATATACTTATTTATTTTAATAATCTCTCCATCCATTTAGAGTTTTTGCCACTTTTAGACCTCCTGCTATTATGTCAGTGTTGCTTTTGGTACTCAACTTTGAATTTTTCCACTCATAGTCCTTCAAATTGTGCGAGAGACACTTATGGTACTTGTCTTTGATTTTTTCTATATTTCAAAATGACAGTGGAAGGACTAAAAGTGTCAGTTTGACAATACTCGGGGGATTAAATGTGGGGAATTTCAAAGTTGGGGACTAAGAGTCTCTTCTTCACAATATTTGAAGGACTAAAAGTGGGAAAAATCAAAATTGAATACCACAAGTGTCACTCACAGAATAGTTGGGGGATGAAAAGTGCCAAAAACTCGCCCATTTAATAGCTTCAACTGTATTTTGCATGGATATTAAGGAAATAAATGATGTTTGTTTGATATCCCTATCCCCATTTTACCTTTTAAAATGTGATAACTTTTTTGAAAAGCTATATAAATTGATATCAAATCAATGAAATGCAAGTCGAAAAAAATCAGAAGTTAGTAGAATCCAAAAAAGAGAGTTGACATTATTGTGGGACATACTGCAAAGGAAAGTGTGACTTAACTTACAGGACATTGATGAAATTATCACACAAGGGTCACCCATGAGCATAATCAATTAAGAGTATATCACAATTCACAAGAAATTTCTGCTTTAGTTGCACGAGTAAAGTACAACTGAAAGTTCAGCGGCGCATCTGTCATTGAACTTTGGCGTTTTTTTTTTTTTGCGTGATGTTGGGTTCTTACTCCGATTTGTTCGGCATGGTTGGTTATGTAAAATGTAGGTTGAAGATAGTTTGGATTGAAAGGAGATGAGTTGGGTTTCGTTTTCGGTACTTTAAGGGTGTGTTTGGGAGTTGAATTTTGGAGGGGAGGGGAAGGGATGTGAGGGTGTATGACCCTCCATTTTATTTTTGGGAGTTTTAAAAATTGGGAGGAAAGTTTAGAAGGAGTTTTGGCAATCCTTCGTAGCCCTTCAAACCCTCATTTTTTGAGTTCCTCCGATTTGAGGGTTTTTGAGAGATAATTATGCAAATGACAAGTTTATCCAAGTTAAATTAATACAATTTCCTCATGCTTCTGCTATCTGCTCCAGTCGATTAAAATTCCTCAGAGCAACAACTATAGAACCCTAGCTCTACATCATTTCACAAATTTCATTCTGCTTGCTTTCTCATTTAGGTTCTCATTTAAGTTTATATACCATTACCATGCAACTTTGATCAAATAGATTGCCAAAATGAGTTGCATAAAAGGTAATTGCATGTTCTAATTCAATCTTTTTCTCTTTAATGTCCCTCGCCTTTTTAGTGAGATGATTCTATACTCTTTCGGGCTGAATGGCTGAGCCCATTTAGTTAAGGTTAGGAAGAATCTAAGATGAATTTAGTGTTAACTAATCTCAAACAATTAATTGCAACTTCGAATGAATGAATTAACACTAAGTTTTTTATGCTAGCGTGGTTGGGATCTCGTTACAAATCTAAAGAAAAGAGAGTGGGAGAGAGAAAGAATAAATTAAGCCTAAGCTAAGCTATTAAGAAGTTAATTAAAACTGAATAAGTAAATAGTAACACTAGTAGGAAATTACTAACTACTACTACTACTACTACTACTACTACTACTACTAATGAGAATACATAACAACAATAAGAAGATATATTCCTGTATCAGTTTCAATGCCCAGCTTCTAATATAGTTGGGATTAAGGTGACAGTGATGAAAATGACAACGATGACGTAGAGTCGTAGACAAGCGTTTAGTTAGTTTTATTCTTGTGCTTCTAATTTACTACATCCTTTGTGGGATTTCCAGGAATGTGATTGGGAATGAGTATGATAGAGTGAAGGTATGAGTTTCATACTGCCCATTTAGGAGGAGCATGGTTCAATAGTCAATACTTAAGTGAGAAATAAGAACTTGTAATGGGTACTCACCCACAACATTCTGTCTTTTCTTTTCCATTGCTCATTCACTAAACCTCCCTACCAACTACCAAGCATCCATGATCTGCATCCAGATAGTGATAGTTGTTAATATGGCACTGCACATGCTATCATGACAGTTCCATAATGTTTTATTTATTTATTTATTTATTTATTTATTTATTTATTTATTTATTTATTTATTTATTTATTTATTTATTTATTTATTTATTTATTTATTTATTTATTTATTTATTTATTTATTTATTTATTTATTTATTTATTTATTTATTTATTTATTTATTTATTTATTTATTTATTTATTTATTTAAATTACATATTTTTTGTTAATATATGTTTTTTCATGCCCTCATGCTTTGCAGAGTGATAAAGTTCCTTCCTGTCAATATTGATCCTATTCCAGAAGAAATTCGTCATAATTTTGGACTTCCGTGCCTTTATAATGTAAGAGTGATAGGTGTGCTAGTTGTTACATTTTTCAAGTTTAATAGTTCTATTCTTTCGTGCAGCCACTGATTCTTTGTTCTCAGTAATAGAAGATTCATTTTCTAAAACAAACCATAGTATCCCACTATATCCCACACACCCACTCAAAAGTAGGATCAGGGGCGGTGGGCTGGTGGCGGATCAGATGTACATAGACCCTATCCACACTCCCACTCAAAAGTAGGGTCAGGGGCGGTGGCGGGTGAGATGTTCATAGACCCTTATCTTCTACCTACGGGATAGATAGACTGTTTTCAACGAGACCCTTTGCAAGTAGTGAAAGGTGATGCAGATGGTGCAAAATGCAAGTAAATTACACTACGTTAGCTAATAAGCACGTAAGGAAACAATCATGCAGATATAGAACAAGCAATTAAGCATGTAAATAAACACACAAGTGAAAAAGCCGGAGACACTGACAACAAACACCTGTAAAACCCACAAAGACTCAGTTACCTCAATCTAACTTCTCCATGAGCAACCCTATTCACAGGCTGCTTAACATGAGTACAAGTAACACTAGCAAAACTTACTTTTATATCTTTAATATTGTCACTAATGAAGCAAAACACAGAATTATGAGCTCCTGTACGGAAAGCAATGACTTTTAAAGAGTCAAATTCAATACCAATGTGATCCCATCCTAGTCAGCTAAAGAATTACATTATTTAAAGAGCTTTTGCCTTCACAGGAGCATATGAACCCATCCGCGGTTTTGCTTATACTTATTATAAGCATGTAGTGACAGAGATGGGAAAATTAAGTAAGACCATGTAGTGCTCCCATTATTTGTAATGTACAACTAACTTAAAAACCTAAACCAGTGTTAGTATTATATGTTAGTTGTATTATATATGTGACCGGCGTGTGAGATGGTCTATCATGTCCCGCAAGATGGTAGCTCATTGGAGCAAACCAATCTTGTAGTCCATATCCCCGTTGTTGAGGCTTTTTAGGATCTAATTTCTTGTTGGAGCTATAATTGGCTCCGATATCTTTTAAAGACTTCAAGTTCCATTCTAAAAAGTCAACCTGATAGGAAGAGTAATTCAAATCTTTATTTGTTAATTTGTATTTGTATAGAGGATAGTTATGAAGATATACTGATAATATTTTTAGATCTTTCCTACTCTTGAAATTTATCTTCTCAAACTCAACTCTCATTTTCTGAGTTTTCATAGATTGCAACATTGCAGATTATTGTTAGGGAATGATCTAATAGCATAACATACCAATGGTATGTTATGCTATTTATATGATGTCCCAGGGATCAATAAGGTAATCTACTAATTACAATACTAAATACAAAGATATTGTAACATAATATTCTAATGATTTTGTAACTTATGTAACTTATTTTCTGGACTCTTCTATACTAAACTGGTATTTAGTGTTTGTCACTTAATAATCAGTATGAGGAATATTCACTGAACAAAAGCATTTTTGACATGCATCATTCTAAGTAGTTATAAATATATTTTATGTTGGTTTCACTGCTTAAAAGCCTTTCAGTAAACAACTGTAGGTATTCTTAGCGAGGGATTCTTTTGAGTGTATGTGCATGTGTTTGTGATTGTTAGTTATTTTGCATGCTTCAGCAAAATTAAAAAAATTGCAGGCGTTTGCTGGGATTCATCAGCCAAAAAGCCTACTGGATGCTGAATTAGCTCGCAAAAGGCTTATATTTGATGAGTTTTTCTATCTCCAGGTATTCGTGGTTTTATTATGAAACTCTAACAGGAGGTGTTTCATTATGCTTTGTTCCAGTAGTTTAGGAACGTAGTTGGTTGGGACAGATAGCAGCATAAGAAAACAAAATTCGATGAATATTTCTTTGCAGTATATTAGTTTATCTCAATCAAAATTTGTGTTCGAAGTAAGAAACTCAAGGAGAAGGAATTTTCTTTGGTTGGTATATATAGCTTAGAAATGTGCTTGAATAGAGAAACAAGTGAAACATCACTGTTAAGAAGTGAAGGGTTTGAGAGCCTAGTGTCACGGGATGCCTTCTCGACTGCAAGGCCATGCTAGGTTTAAAAAAATGTATTTGATTTTTCATCACCCTCAATTTGGAGCATATAGATCATATGTAGCAGGCTTGTTACAATTATAATCAATCTAATATCTCTATGGGATTAAGGCTTGGATGCTGTTGTTTGTTGTTGTACTACTTCTATGGGATTTTGTAATACTATGTACCATTTGATAAGCTGTATTAAGAAAGCAAGTAGCAATGCATCTGAACACTATGTACTCCCTTCAATTTTAATAGCTTGGTCAGTGCATGGAAGACAAGATTTGATGCAATGTGCAACCTTTCTTGGTTATCGCTGAACTTTGATTGGACAGTTCCGGTGAGTGGCGATTCGCGAATAGTCGCTACTCGTCCGTTTAAGTGGAATAGTTTTAGGAAAAGAGATTTTTGTTGTTGAACATAGCATGGTAGTTAAGATTTTTATAATCATCACATGAAACAAGCCACACTGATTAGGTATTATTTTTATAGTTAAGTTAAATCTGCACACTCTTAATTTAAGCTTTAAATACAGGTCAAGGTAATCCTAACTATTGAATCATAACCTATTTACTATTTATTCGAACAGACAAACACACATATTGCATGGACTGTTTCCGAATGACCCATAGTGAAAATCGCGTCCAAAATTGCATGGACTGACTGCTGCTGCTTCATAACAAAGAAGCGCAACAGTTTAGTGAGCCATTTTGCTTTATTCCATCACAATTTCAAGCCAAAAAATAATGAATCTTTGACTGCTGCTCATATACAATGCCTGATTGTAATTTATTCATCTCATGATGCGTTTGAGAAACTAATTGCTGTCGACAACTACAGGGAACTCTGAAATGTAATTCTTCAAATGTGATGTACAATAATCTTCTTATCTTATTTATTAATTTCTTTTGTCGTCTTTCAGCTGGGGCGGCTGTTTCAAATGCTTCAAGGTCTAGGCACTAAACTAGAAAAAGATAGATTGCTGGACAAGTGCAGGGGAGCTGAACCTAACATGATAGATGTAGAGGAATGGTCCACTCTTACGCAGAAAGTTATGAAATCTCTTCCGTATTCCCTAACATCCAGTCAATTAGCAGCTATTTCAGAAATAATATGGGACCTAAAGCAGCCAGTCCCGATGAATAGACTCCTTCAGGTTTTGAGCATTCTTCACAATATTGTTTATTATGTGGTGTGAGGAGGGGTCATATGTATTGAAGTATCTGTTGCTAAATATGGAAAAAGTTGGGATAGTTATTATTAGTGGTATGCTAATTCATTAGAATCCTAATATATTTATGAACCTAAACCAGTGTTAGTATTAAACAGTTTATATTCCACACACAAGGTGGTGGTTTACACTCCCTTCAACACATGTTGAAGCTATAGATAGTAAAAAAGGCTAGGTAGTTGTGTGTAAACTTGAGTGCTCTGATTAGAGAATGTCTGGTGGGTACTCTTTGAAGTAATCAAATGTTAATTTGGTCTGTATTTTGCTATATTGAACAATATCTAGTTCTTGGACCTCAAAGGGACTTGGTGGCACTGTTTAACAATTGACTAGTTGAGTTGACAAAGCTCGTAGTGATGATATACTTTTTATCCATTTATTGTGGCCATGCTGAATTGGCCATTATATGAGCTATATATCGAGAATTCCTTTTTTAAACTTTACATGGTTTTCAGGGTGACGTCGGATGCGGGAAAACTGTGGTGGCATTTCTAGTGTGCATGGAGGTTATTTCTTCAGGCTATCAGGTTTCATTAATATATTGGGCTTTTCTCTTCTTTTAATTTTAAATTTTTAATAAATCCCTTTGCCCCATTCTATCTATGTGACTTGTTTGTATTGAGCACGACACTCTATTTTACTCAAATTATAACTCACTTCCGTTTACTGCGGTTCTTGATCAAAACAAATCTAGATACTCCTTTTGTTCCCTTTTATACGTCATAGCTTCTATTCACGCAGTCAATCAAATTCTCTTATTCTTTTGTTTTCTCTTTCAGATTTATCATATTTAATTTTGGCTTATGCAGTTTAATAGAACTCTTATTTTAGTTTTTAAATATGTAAATCTTACCAGATCTAAACTAAATATATTACCACGGGATAATTATCATTATCATTAGTCAAATATTGTAATCGTAGTGCCCCTTATAAAATGTGATGAAAGAAGTAGTACTCTCCCAAGTTGTCTCTCAAATGGGGTCAATTATATCAAAACTTTTCAAAGAAGTAAGGGATAAACAGTGAAACAGAAAAAGTGAAGTAAATTTAGGACTTGCTAAAATGAAAAATTAGAACAAATTAAGTGGGACAAGTATAGTACTCCCTTTTCCCATTTAGTTTGTGTAGTTGTCAGTCTAAAAAGTGGAGTTGTGTATCTTTTTTTTTCTTTTTTTTTAATATCCTTTTTTCCTTATATATAAATATTATTTTTATCCTTTTTATTTTATCATTTTTATGTATATTCATCTCTTTTTATTTATCTTTTTTATAATATCTTATCTTTTTCATCTTTATGTTCTTTCTTTTCCTTTTGGTGGTGATATCATGTATCGATTCATGTTAGCCGACCCCAATATCTTTTGGGATTAAGGCTTGGATGTTGTTGTATGGAATGAGTTAAATATTTTCGAATGGGCAAAAATAGAAAAAGGGGACAAACAGAATAGGACACAGGGAGTAATATTTATCAGGGTTTTATGTACAAGGTAATAAATATGAGTCTTTACATGTGTATTGTGGTGGAATGTTTTTTATCTAATATACTCCCTCAGTCTTAAGAGCTCGCTCCTACAGGCTTTTCATAGTTTTCAAGGGTGAAAGTTGTAGGGGCATTGAGCCTTAAGATATGCGGTTCCATCAGAAAATTGTAGGGGCATTTTCAAGGTCCTATGTGTTTGTATGATTTTTATACATGATCGGTATGAGACTACTTAAAGGAGCAGCTTACAGAAAAATGAAAAGGCAGGAGAGATTTATAAGATCCGAAGTTCCAATCTAAAAAGTAAAGGGTAGCTCGGGATCTTATATAATGATTTATTAAGTTATACTGACAAATACTCCAACACGTCATTAATTGAGCTTCCATCTCTGGTGGGTTGTTGTTGTTAGCCACAGGTGCCTCAGTTAATCCTAAGTATCTCAAAGCCTTTATCTAATCTTCTACAACAAGTCAACAACATCCAAGCCTTAGTCCCAAAAGATTTTGGGGCCGGCTAACATGAATCGGTACATGATATCAGAGCCAAAGAAAAGAAATATAAAAAAAAAGGTATGATAAAAAGGATAAAAAGAGGATAAGAAAAAACAGAGATAAGATATACATAAAAAAGATAAGATAAAAAGGCTAAAAAGAATATATATATATATATACCTTACCGGAGCTGCCGTGCGGCCTCCACGTTTTGAGGGCCTTCCCGGTGGAATTTTTCGATGAAATTTTTTGAGCATGTTCTTCATCAAGTCTAGTACATCCATACCAAATTTCATCAAAAAATTCAATCGGGAAGGCAGTCAAACGATTTTTGGAAGATAATTGCGTTTTATATGAAGAGTTCCCTATATATATATGTATATGTGTGTATATATATATATATATATATTTTATATATATATATAAGATAAAAGGATAAAAAGCATAAGAAAGATAAAGAAGATATAGGGAACATGACATCCCTTTATTTAATCTTCTGAAATAGAAATTTCGCATTGTGTACTTCTTGAAATAGACCTTACAACAACAATAACAACATCCAAGTCTTAGTCCCAAAAGATTTTGGGGGTCGGCTAACATGAATCGACACACAAAATCGGAGTTAAAATTGAAAAAAAAAAAGTGAAAAGGGAGGTAAACAAAAATAGATCAATCCTTCACACATATACTCTCCCTCCACTTCGTCCTCTCCAAAGTCATACTCTCTTTTAACCCCCAAGAAATACCATACCATTGTTATAGACGACGAAGTGGGGGGGGGGGGGGGGGGGGAGAGTATTCATTTGGAGGATTGATCTGTTTTTATGGACCATTGATCAATCCTTCACACGTATATCATTGATCTAATACACCTAGATTATCTCAACCTTCAGGCAGCATTTATGGTCCCAAATGAGTTGCTAGCAGTGCAGCATTATGAGCATATTGTAAAATTGCTAGATGATGTTGAGGAACTAGACTGCAAACCTTCTGTTGCTTTGCTCACAGGCTCGACTCCGTCAAAACAATCACGATTGATTCGCATGGTAACGTTCCCTGAGGCGGATTTACTCTATTTTTCTACATTTTTTGTAAGTTGCTTTACTTACTGTAAAGTAAACAATTTTCCCCAACTTCTTGAAGGGTCTACAAACTGGAGATGTCTCTTTGGTCATTGGTACCCAAAGTTTGATTGCTGAAAATGTGCAATTTTCGGCTTTAAGAATTGCTGTGGTAGACGAGCAACATCGATTTGGAGTAGTCCACAGGGGACTGTTTAATGGCAAGGTAATATTTTATTTGCTAGCCTGTGCAAATTATTGAGTTGAATATTTTCAAATGATCATACTATGATACTATCTATGATTGTGACCTTATATTATTGTAAAATGGAAAGAATAAAAATGACTTCTTAGCTATGACGTTCAGAAGCTAGTTCCATCTTTTAGATCATAGGTGCTGCTAACAGGAGTATTGGAAATTATAAAGAACACCTATGTGCTAGTTGTACTTGGTTTTTTCTCTTGACCATTTTCACAATTGTATTGGCATTTGTGCCTTTGCAGCTACTCTTCGACTCTAAAAGTTCCAAGATGCTATCAACCGAGCAAGACGACTCCTCTAACAGCAATGTGCTTATGGCACCACATGTTTTGTCTATGTCAGCCACTCCCATCCCTAGGTCACTTGCTCTAGCATTGTATGGAGACATGTCCTTAACACAGGTGCCTTAAATTTTCATCGTTTTGTTGCTCAAAAGTTGTGCATTTCCTCAATTTGAGTAATTCACAATTACATGCATTCTCATTGAATTATTTTTAAGGTTCTTCCCAATTTCTATTTCTTATCTGGCTTTTGTAAGTTTCATATAAAGTGAGTTCCCTCCAGGACATTATAATATGGAGTTCTTGTTTCTTACGGTCTTCTATTACTCCGTATGTTTTAGTTGAGATGGTAGCCAGCCTGAATTCTTCCACTTTTCTCCCATCTATTCTTTAAAAATGACTATACTACCTGGGTAAAGATAAAAATTGTGTCTTCCGTTAACTGGCATTTTGTGTATCCCATCAGCGTATCATGCAGAGTTTTTTAATATCTCAACTGACTTCAGTCTTTGGCTACGTGGTTCTGTTTTGCCTTTTCCTCTATCATTCAACTACAGATCACAGATCTGCCTCCTGGAAGAATACCCGTGGAAACACATGCAATCGAAGGAAATGAACGTGGGTTTGAGGAGGCATACAAGGTATATTATTTTGTTTACATATGTAGAATGCATTCTATAATCTGTTCTCTGTACATCAGGACCCCAAATATTGAGAGATAAATGGAACAGAGGACAATGACACACATAGGGCATATAAAATGTTGCCAAGTTCGTGTTAATGAGGGTGTGGTTAAAGGGAACATAGGACATTAGCAACAACAACAACATCCAAACCTTACTCCCTAAAGAACATAGGACAAATAAATTAAAAAAAAATAGTGATAATAAATTAGTCTATACTACCTCCTCCATTCTTGAATAAATGAAACTATAGGTTATTTACTGAGATTAAGAATAATTGTAGGGGTAATGGGTGCGGTAGAAAAGATATGACAGAGACGGGGAAAAGTAGGAAATAGAATGAGAAAAGGTGGGAAAAGTAGGGAATACAACAACAACATCATCCAAGCCTTAGTCCCAAAAGATATTGGGGTCGGCTAACATGAATCGATACATGATATCACCACCAAAAGGAAAAGAAAGAAAATAAAGATAAAAAAGATAAGCTATTATGAAAAAGATAATATAAAAAGAGATGAATGTACCTAAAAATGATAAAATAAAAAGGATAAAAATAATGTTTATATATAAGGATTAAAAAAAATTTAAAATAAAAAAAAACAAGAAAAAAATTAAGGGGAAAAGATAATACGAGATCACTCCTCCACATGAATACCTGCCCTCCACTTTGCTCTCTTCAAAGCCATACCCTCATCTAACCCAAGAAAAAACATATCACTTCGGACTCCCCTAATCCAAGTCTGTTTGGCCTTCCTCTCCATCTCTTCCTTGCCTTTTCTCCACACATCTCAACTCGTCTAACAGGCACATCACTCGGTCTTCTACGCACATGACCAAACCACCGTAGGCGCGACTCCCGCATCTTGTCTTCAATAGGTGCTACTCCCACCCTTTGTCTGATTGTCTCATTCCTCACATGGTCCTTCCTAGTATGCCCACACATCCAACGCAGCATGCGCATCTCCGCCACACTCATCTTTTGAATGTGACATTGTTTCACCGCCCAACACTCTACGCCGTGCAGTAATGCAGGCCTAATTGCTGTCTTATAAAACTTACCCTTCAGTCTAGTCGGCATACCTCTATCGCAAAGAAATCCTGACACACTCTTCCACTTCATCCACCCTGTTTTGATTCTATGGGATACATCTCCATCTAACTCACCGTCCTTCTGAATTATGGGGCCCAAGTAGCAGAACATATCGCTGACCGGTATCTCCTTACCATCTAGAGTAATTCCGCTATTACTACTGCTTCTACCTCCACCAAACTTGCACTCCATGTACTCTGTCTTGCTCCGACTTAGTCTGAAACCCTTGTTCTCCAAAGTTTCTCGCCATACTTCCAACTTTGCTTTAAGACCTGATTGCGTCTCATCAATCAATACAATATCGTCGGCAAACATCATGCACCACGGTATTTTGTCTTGAATTGACTTCATAATTCCATCCATGACTAAGGCAAATAAGAAAGGGCTCAGAGCCGATCCTTAGTGCACTCCGATAGTAATAGCGAACTCCGTAGTCCTCTCTACACTAGTACGGACACTTGTAGTACAATCCTCATACATATCCATGATGATGCTGATATACTTGCGTGATATGCCTTTTCTAGTTAAGGCCCACCAAAGAACTTCTCGAGGTACCCTATCATAAGCCTTTTCTAAGTCAATGAACACCAAATGCAGATCCTTATGAATGTCTCTATACTTCTCCATAAGTTGCCGAAGAAGGTGAATAGCCTCAGTTGTTGAGAGACCAGGCATAAAACCGAATTGATTCTCTGAAATCTTCACATTTCTTCAAAGTCTTTGCTCAATCACTCGCTCCCAAAGTTTCATGGTGTGACGTATAAGCTTAATCCCTCGATAGTTGGCACAATCTTGTACATCACCTTTATTCTTGAATAAGGGGATAAGAGTACTCCTCCTCCAACTCGTTGGCATCTTATTGTTTCTCCAAATCATGTTGAAGAAACTTCAACATGGGTCAAATAATAAAAAACTTCCAAATAATGATTACATGACATTTATTCAAGAATGGAGGGAGTAAGATTTAATGATAGTATATATGTTTCTGTTAAAACATAAACCACTTGTTTAAGTAAATAGTTACCCGCAGATTTACTTGTTGGATGGTTACTGCTTGAATAAAAGTACTCATTAGATTATGGAGTGATTACCGGATGGGGAAACTACCCAACAAGACGAGTACAGATATATGCATAACTGTCCCTGATACACGTGTTGCTATCTATAGGTACTCAGTCCATTGCTCAACCACAACCAGATCTTGTTTCTTACTTTATCAATAAATCAAGTTCCCTCATAAAGATGCCGTATCCAGAAGTGTAACATTTATCTGTCAGGCATCCAAGCCAATCCGCATTGCAATATCCCACAGTTTTACTTTGACCTCAACCTTTGTAGAGCATGAATGTTTATAGAGGGGCAGTTATGCTGATTTGGACATATGCTTGAATTAAGGATATTCCAACATTCGTTTTGCATGCTTGCTTTTTTATTCTAAAAACCTATGAGGTTTTCGATTTATTTATTTAAGTTCCACAAGATTATAAAAAGCCTTTTTTCGTCTCCATCACAGTTTCTACAACCAAAACCGCTGCAATTTCACAGGGAAAAGGGATTAAACTCAACAGAACCAACAAATGAAGACTAAAAAGTATTAAGGTGTTTTTACACCGATTAGATGATGAAAGCATTCTGATTATCTTTCATGCTATATTTATGGACATCAAATAAATAGAGAGTTAAAGAGACCATCAAATGATAAAATCAAATGATAAAAACATATAGGGCTTATCAAAGGTTACATAGGTATCAAATGTTACACATATGTTGAAACTCAAACGACGTCAAGAACATAGAGTCACACCAAAATTATTGTTCTTATTTACTTGGAATGCTTTGAACATATGTAAGTAGGTACTAGAAGATGTAGCCTAGAGGATTCTCAAAAGTAGAGTTCAAAAAACATCTTTATCATACATTTCGGCTACCTAAAATTAAATGAATTCGTAGCGACTTCTCTGGTAAGATAGTACTCATATTCTAAGGTTAGAAGCTTATAAACTAATTTTCATTATTTACCTTTCCTACTACACCAATAAATTTCCTCAACTGTTGGCATTCTTGGTTGGATTTTTTCGTGATTTTCAGGAGGGTGGTTTCTTTTCTTATTTTGAAGGTCTCATTAGCTAGCTGGTGAATATTCTTAGTAATATACCTTTGAAAGAGATGAGAAGACTTATTGTCCTCTTTGGGAGAGATTAGGAATCTTTATAAGACTGCTGCTCTAGGGCTATGGAGCAAAATAGTACCCCCTCCATCCCACTATGTTTGTTGATTTTTTCCGTTTTGATTTGTCCCTAAATGTTTGTCCCACCATTTTCAGCAAATTATGTAGTTCTAAATCATCCAGAGTTTATAATTAGGGTAATTTGAGTTTGCACCCCATTTTATTGTCCAAATTGGACTTTGCACCCCGTTTTTAAAATCTTTGTTTTTGCACCCCAACCCCATATGAAAGACAAAATTGCCCTCGATCAAGGATATGTTGAAGGCCAACAAAATTGTTAATGGAGGGGCATTTTTGTCTTTTCATATGGGGTTGGGGGGTGCAAAAACAAAGATTTTAAAAAACGGGGTGCAAACTCCAATTTTCACAATAAAATGGGCTGCAAACTCAAATTACCCCTTTATAATTTCAGTATCAACCACACAATTCCACTTTTTCTTAAATTGCGGGCCACATTCTCTTGTCCCAAGCAGTGAGATGAAATAAGAGGATTACCTTTTCCGATTCTTCAAAAAGATGTTTTATCGTGGAATACAACTTTTCTTTTCTCTAAGATTTACAAGTCTTAGTGACTGGTAATTGTTTTCCATTTCCATGAGTGAGCTGTATTTGCTATTTTTAGCTGTTCAGGTCCTAACTGAATGAGTGCTTTTATGCATAAAGTATTCAATGAGTGCTTTTATTATCTTTGGGATAAGGCGGGGTCGAACTTTTTAAGGATGGAATTCATTGTACTTTTAACTGTGGATTCTAACATCAACCAGAAGTGGATAAAAATTAAAAATGCATTCCCTTTGTTATGTTAGCCTGTAATTTGTTCTAAGTTTTTTTACTGTTTCGCCATTATAGATGATGATGGGGGAATTGGAAGCAGGGGGGAAAATATATGTTGTATATCCAGTTATTGAGCAATCTGAACAACTGCCTCAGCTTCGTGCTGCTGCATCTGAACTCGAAACAATTTCTAGTAAGTTCTCAGCTTATAGGTGTGGGCTATTGCACGGGAAAATGAAGAGTGAAGAAAAAAGTGATGCTCTACGTCAGTTTAGAACTGGAGAGACTGAGATACTGCTATCGACTCAAATTATTGAGATAGGTGTTGATATCCCAGATGCATCTATGATGGTTGTAATGAATGCTGAGCGGTTTGGAATAGCACAATTGCACCAACTTAGGGGACGAGTTGGACGCGGACATAGGAAGTCTAAGTGTGTATTGCTAGCATCTACAACCAGCGGCTTTAATCGGGTGAAGGTGCTTGAGAAGTCATCAGATTGCTTCTATCTCGCAAATATGGACCTTTTGATGCGAGGACCTGGAGATTTGCTTGGTAAAAGACAGTCTGGCCACCTTCCTGAGTTTCCCATTACCAGATTAGAAGTCGATGGAAATATGATACAGGATGCTCATCTGGCTGCACTGGTTAGTAGATTGTCTCTAATAAAACTTACTCCTGATATTAATATGATAAATCTGTAATTTGTCGACCATTATACACTTTATATGTAGTACAGTGCTTCCTAAAGAACGGGAAAATCACTCTGTTCCTAAAAGAGTGTAACCATTCCTTGAGGATTTGAACTCCACTCTGCAGCCCACCTTTCCTTTTAGTAGTAGAGCTGAGAACAGTCAACATGTTACATATGAGTATATGACTAACTTTTCTATAAACCAATTTTAGGACATGTTTGCTTGTTTTCCTTGACATAAATAACTCCTTTTATGCAAATGAATGAGCGCAATAAAATATGGCATTTCCCTTGACAAGCCAACACACTCTCTAACATAGGAGAAGCTACCTAAAATGCTTGAAAATGCTTGACAAGCTCCCTTGAAAATGCTTTGCTCATGCTAGACATTCTTCTTGGTTGATAGAGAGTGCTGAAGTGAGCTCTTGTACACAGACACACGCACACCTCGGGAAAAAAGATTCCTTGACTTGAAGGCCATTTTGGTTTATAATTCTTTCCAGTAAATCTTAACTTCAGAATTACATTTTCCCTTGCAGCAAATTTTGGCTGATTCTATTGATTTAGAGAGATATCCCTACCTCAAAGCGGAGATCAGCATGCGACAGCCCCTATCACTTCTAGGGGATTAAGCTACAGTTGTTATGTGAATCTCATGCGCCATGTTATGTAGCCTGATGCTCTCTAGTTGTTATTTTTTTGTATATACCTGTGAATTGTTGTACGGAGTCTGTTGTATTCAAATATATTTCCATGCAATGGACTATATTGCAACTGCAGTAACTGATTAACTGACTCGGCCATGCATTTCTTTCTTTCCTAGGTCTAGTCTCAAAATTCGATGGTTCTGAGATAAATTTTGTAGAAACAATCATGAACAAAGTTTTGAAATGGTGATATATATTAAAAAGTATATGGCC